TCTGGGGAGATGCTAACCTATTCGTTGCAATGGATGCCTTAGGACATTAGAGCTTAATTCTCTTAGAGAATCCTAGTGGAAAAAGATTGCAATCTCAATTGTGTGCTCTTTTTTTTTTTCATTAGTTATCATTAGTTTATTATAAAAGAGAAATATGGAAATATTTACATGATGAAAGATTTCAAAACTTCAGTGGAAATGGGCAGCTTCATGTTGATGCTATTTCAATAGTGACTTATTTCAGTCTACGTACTTTCCAAGAATGTCACCATCTCTAAATAGGAAATAATCTTGTCATCTAGAACTACTTTGGTGCCTCCATATTCTGGCAGAACTTTATCTCCAACTTTCACGCTGACCGGTTGAATCTCTCCACCCTTTCCTTTAGAACCCGATCCAACAGCGACTACTGTTGCTTGCAATACTTTTCCTTGAGATTTTTCTGGAAGCATAATGCCTCCCTTGGTTACAGTTTCAGCAGCACTCCTTTCAACCAATACTACTGGGTCAAAGAGTGGAAGAAATTTTCTAAACGCTTGTCCTGCCATGACTCCCTCCGCCCCAGACTCGTACTCTGCTCTGGTGTCATTCTTAAGGTCAGACTGTGTGTTCTTAAGGTCAGTTCTCTTAACTAACCAGATCTAGTTATGCAAAGGATGCTGCTTCGCAGCCCCTGCTGCCTGAGGCTGCTTCTGGATAGCTTATTGCATTGTGCCGTGGTTTCACTGGAGAGTGAATGTCAGACTCATTCTTCCAGGGGCTAAGTGTAAGTGACCCTAAGCTTAGCCAGAAGGCTGGCATGGGTTAATTTATGTTTGACAATCTCAACCTTTAGACTCCCAGATTCTATAGGGCGGAGAGTTCCCTGTTCTTGGAACATCAGAGGTACTGAATAATGGTCTAAATTAGTGACTGAATACCTGTATCTGGATTAGGGATTACTTTGGGGGAGGGGGAAGTTTTTGTGGTAAAGAGAGAGATTGGTAAAGAGAGTTGAGATTGTGAGAAGTGAAGATGTGAAAGTCGGTAGTCTGAGGAAAGATAACGCTACATTTCGTTTAAATACCACTAACGGATTATTTTTGGATAACAGTTGTAGCAAAGCCCAAAGCTCAGAAAGTCCTGCTGCTGGCTTGGCTTTGGACGTGTACAGTCCTTTGCTGTGTTTCCAGTGCCAGAGCTCACACTGGGCCATCAAGCCACAGCAGTCTGGCTCTTACTCAAGATTGGAATTTGAAAAAACAAAAGCGACTCTGCTTTTTCCAGGGAGAATTTAGATGGGCCCTTTCACCTTACTGAAGAGGAAGGTATCTGGGTTACAGTTGAGGATAAATTATTGTTAGAGACCAGAGTCCAGTTTTTAAGCCCCCTAAGAATGGGATGTAAGGAAAAGATCTGTTGGTCCGAGGCATGGAGGGAGTTGCCGGAAGGGCCCTCCACTTAAGCTTGGTTTGCATAATGAGACTGGTCATGCCACACACAAGGAGGGAGGAGAAGGTTTATTCCCCTTGTAGTGAGGCTTTTAGGGAGAATGGGGTAGGGAGAGTGGGGCAGGCTCCAAGCCCAGCCCAAGAGTGGCGAGAGAGAACTGCAGGCCGGAGGAGGGAGCCCAGCTTTCTTAGCCGGTTGTCCAGATGTGGGGCTTGAAGTCAATCATCCAAAAGGGGGTGAGGCTGTGACAGGATGACTGCCCAGGACTCAGCTGTGTGGGTGTGAAGCAGGCTGACCACACGAGAGGGAGATGGGGTGGCACCTTCCGAGGAGCTGCTTTCAGGACATTCAGTCGCAGAGAAGAGGGACGTTCTGTCCCGCAACTTCCCCTCCATGGCAGCTGTGGTTTTTCACGTTCTTATATTTAAGAATTTTTTTAATTGAAACACTTGCATCTGAGTTATTGTTTTATTTTTTAATTTTATTTTTTGATTTATAGTGGAGTACGTATTTTCCTGGCACTTGTAATAATTTAATACATGCATACAATTTGTAAAGATCAAATCAGTGTGATTGGGATATCTGTCACCTTAAATATTTGTCATTTCTTCAGGCTGGAAGCATTCAAATTATTCTCTTCTAGCTACTTTGAAATAGTCAGTAGATTGCTGTGAACCACAGTCACCCTACTGATCTCATAAGTAAAACACAAGTCTTATTTCTTTGATCAGACTGTGATATAGTTGAGTTTTAATGCAAACTTCTAAAGAAGTCTTGTCAAATACTTACAGGGTTTTCTGAGAGTGCCGTCCCAGTGTATTGTTCAGCTGATCCAGATTCCTGCAGGAAATTTGTCTTGCTCCTTGTTCTATGCTGTGGAAATAAACTGAGGGCTATTGCTGCTCACAGGCTCGCCAAGCTGTCTGCAGAGCTTTTGACCTGGTTCTTGGGCTAATTGGTAGTGTCACCAAAAAACGCAATATTATCTTATTCTTATTTCAAAAGAACTAAAGAGAGATCAGACCAAAAAAAAAATCAAAAATTTTTTTTCCTTCGGCTGCCTCTCATAGCTTGGCCTTACTTAACTGTACCACGATGCACCAAGCCGAAGTAGAACATAAGAACCAGTGTAGCTACAAGGTCATGGGTAGAAATGTGTATTTTCTGAGTGTGTATGTGGCAAGTATTCTGCAAGGCAAATTTGTTATCTAAAAATACATATAAGACACAGGTTATGCAATCATTGGCAAAAATGCTTAACTTTGCATAAGAAAAGCTAAATAATTATCTGTCATTCGGCACCATAATCCTCAGAAATTGTCTATATGTAAAATAAAATGAACAGTTGGCAAGCGTCAAGCTTGTGGGTCAGCTATCTGGTAGATTTAGTTTGTCCTACAGATCTTAAGTGTATTTTATTTCATAAAATGATTCAAATTGAACATTATTAAGAACATACTTGCATCAGGAACTCTCTTAGGGCCTTTCAAGTATAATCTCATTTGGTTATAACAGGATTTTTCTGTCACTCATATGAAAATATTGACTGGAGAGCATTGATTTGATTAAAAACTGTGAATAACTGTATAATGAAGGCATATGTTAAACACGAGTCTGGTTGGCCTTTGCATGTTGTATTGAACTGATTTCAATTCATCCCTAAACAGTCTTGAATGTGTGCCACTGTTATTACACCCATTTTCCAGAGAAGGAAATTGCAGCTTTCAGCAACTCAATGATTTGCCCAAGGTCGCACAGCATGCAAAAAAGAGTCGTGGAGTTCCCACCTAACTAGTTTTACTTTTGAGCCCAAATACTGAGCCCCATGCCAGCACTCTGTCAACTTCCAGGTGCACCTGACACCTCTATCTGATTCTGAAGATTGTTCCATGAGGTGTGGGTCCTGGTAAAGCAAATATTAGACACAGAGCGGTCAGAGATACAGAGGCCGGTTAGAAGACCACAAGGTCCACAGCTCTCGAGAAACGGAGCTGGGATGGACATTGGTTCTCCACACCAGGGGTGCCCTGGCCCATACTCTCTCCCCTGACCCGTGCTCCCTCCCCTGACCCGTACTGCCTCCCCTGGCCCGTGCTCCCTCCCCTGACCCGTGCTCCCTCCCCTGACCCGTGCTCTCTCCCCTGACCCGTGCTCCCTCCTCTGACCCGTGCTGCCTCCCCTGACCCGTGCTCCCTCCCCTGGCCCGTGCTCCCTCCCCTGACCCGTGCTGCCTCCCCTGACCCGTGCTGCCTCCCTGACCCGTGCTCCCTCCCCTGACCCGTGCTGCCTCCTCTGACCCGTGCTGCCTCCCCTGACCCGTGCTCCCTCCCCTGGCCCGTGCTCCCTCCCCTGACCCGTGCTGCCTCCCCTGACCCGTGCTGCCTCCCTGACCCGTGCTCCCTCCCCTGACCCGTGCTGCCTCCTCTGACCCGTGCTGCCTCCCCTGACCCGTGCTCTCTCCCCTGACCTGTGCTACCTCCCCTGGCCCGTGCTGCCTCCCCTGGCCCGTGCTGCTTCTCATTTGATGGGTCATGTTATTTTTCAGGTCTAACTTTGGGCTTCCACACTGCAGTGATGAATTTGGGAAACAAATGATTTCGCTATGTTGACTTGCCTTGAGCATTCAGTTGAATCTCATTGTAGTTTCTGCATTTATTTAGAGAAAAATTAAGTCCGCTGGGCTCAGTGGCTCACGCCTGTAATCCAGCACTTTGGGAGGCTGAGGCAGGTGGATCACCTGAGGTCAGGAGTTCAAGACTAGCCTGGCCAACATGGTGAAACCCCAGCTCTACTAAAAATACAAAACATTAGCGGGTGTGGTGGTGGACGCCTGTAATACCAGCTACTCGGGAGGCTGAGACAGGAGAATCACTTGAACCCTGGAGGTGGAGGTTGCAGTGAGCTCAGATCATGCCACTGCACTCTAGCCTAGGCAACAAGAATGAAACTCTTTCTCAAAAAAAAGAAAAAGAAAAATTAAGTCATGGAAATAGGCATTCCTAGTGGAAACTACTTTGCTTTCTGATATGTTGAGCTTCTGTGACCTGTAGTGAAGTGGCCCAGGTTCAGCCTCCTAGTAAGGAGCACGCCACTGGCCAGAAGTACAGAAAGTCTCTCGGGACCTTCGGCCCCATCATCCCTGGTGCTGTGCTCTTCGGGCTTGGCTTGTACGAAGTGTTTAGTCTGATGAGATCAGAGAGCATGTCGGATCCCTTCCTCCAACCTTCATTTGACTTGTTAGCACTGACAGTTTACCTAACCCCACTGAACCCTAGGATCATCACCCACATGACCAGGTTGTGTGGAAGATTAACGGACGAGATGCAGGCAAACCTCACAGTATCCACACGGTGCACAGTAAACGCTCACTGGGGTTTGCTGTAATTACCTGTGGCAATATTGGCTTCATAATTCATCAGCTCAAAATAAAAAGATGGCTCCTGTCTCACGTTCTTTCCTGTTTCTATTGGTGTTTTGCTGCAATGCATACGGTGTAGTTGAGTTTTAGTGAAGATGAATTTTAAATGATACCTTAACTATTTCTAAGTCAGTGGGTTTCTACACTTTAGGTATCAGACTTGGTGATAATTCTGAATTATGACCGTGCTGTGGAAGCTTTTGCGAAAGGCGGAAATCTAACCCTTGGAGGGAACTTGACTGTGGCTGTCGGGCCCTTGGGAAGGTGAGTTCTTTACATAGATGTTAGACAGTAAAGGTTTAACAACTGCATGTTTTATTTTGCATTAATAGGAAACTTGAATTAAAATGAACAGATTTATGCATCTCCAGATTTATGGAGACTATAATGCCCAGAAGATTCGAAGTCATCACAAATAGGAAATTCGCAAAACAGAGCCAGTGAGATAAGCTAGAAAATCTGAAACCAGAACACTCAAGAAATAATGAAATGTTTTAGAACCATAGGCCATTGTATCTGTCAGGCTTGAACATAAAATCCACCTTCAGCTTTGAGAGAGCCAAAGGCAAGTCAGATTTTATGATAAAGTTCAGCTTCCATTAGGAAAGAAAGAGCTTTTTTCAAAGTAAATCATAAAATTTGGATATGGATGTGTTTTTTTGAGCCGTGTTTGCGGTACTTAAAGTGTATTTTTCTTCTCTATTAATGAAATGCTAGTCTTGGATTAATTGTGCAATGTAGAAATATTTTATACCCACACTATTTATAGAAATTGCACAGTAAAATCATCTAAAAATGTTTCTTGGTTCCATGAAAATACTCAATGCAAAAAGAATCCAAATTATTTAGCACTCTTGAGATGTATTTCCCAGTTTTAAGAGAGGACGATCCAGTTGGAAAATATCAGACTTACAAATTTTTAAAATATATTTACACATTCTGCACTGTATTTTTTGCAACACAATTCTATATTATCATAGCCTTCTGTAATAACTTCATGTATGTTCTTCCCCCTGGCCTGTTTTTCCTCTAGGCCACATTAAAACATCTAATTTAGGCCTACAGTAAGTAAAACATAGAAACAGCTGAAAAAGGTACAGAACAAGATAATTCATTTGAGCTGGAAGAAGAGTGCTATTTAAATAGTTATCTTCGGGCTTAGAGCTGCTCACAGCTTTGTGACGCAAAATCTTGTCCTTTGCAGGAACTTGGAAGGCAACGTGGCCCTGAGAAGCTCGGCCGCCGTCTTCACATACTGCAAGTCGAGAGGACTCTTCGCAGGCGTGTCTTTAGAAGGCAGCTGTTTGATTGAAAGGAAAGAAACTAATAGAAAGTCAGTTCAAGTTAAAGTGATTTTAACTGAAAGTGTGATGAGAAAATAATACTTAAAGAGTTGATATAATTTGCAGAGTACATTTATATATCCTTTTTACAACATGTGGTTTTAAGTGTGTCTCTTACGTTTAAAAATTAAATATATAAAATATGCTCATGGAAAATGCAGAAGACACACAAAAAATAAAAGAAAAAACATTCGATCCCTTTGAAAGACTAACACAATTCACATTTTGCTTTACTGCCTTCCAACATTTTCCTAAGCGTAATTTTTTTTGTGTTGCCATATATGATGGTAATCACCGTATATATTCAACTGTAAATGCTGTTTTTCCACTTCGCATTTTAAGATAGCTGGAAACCATCGTTCTCAGCAAACTGTCACAAGGACAGAAAACCAGACACCACATGCTCTCAACTCACAGGGGAGAACTGAACAATGAGATCACTTGGACACAGGGCGGGGAACATCACACACCGGGGCCTGTCGGGGATGGTGGGGGCTGGGGGAGGGACAGCATTAGGAGAAATACCTAATGTAGATGATGAGTTGGTGGGTGCAGCAAACCAACATGGCACTCGTGTACCTATGCAACAAACCTGCACGTTGTGTACATGTACCCCAGAACTTAAAGTATAAAAAAAAATAAAGTAAACGTAAGCGTAAGTTAGTAATACCCTTAGTTGGATGCACCAGTTTCAGTGATTTTCAGATGTTTGTGGAAGGCGCACCAGTTACGACTCATGGGTCAGTCGGTGTTCCTTGTGAGGTTTCCTGTTCTACACTCCACCTTTGTCTTCTCTCTATGTCAAATAGAGACCAATTTAAAATACAGAAATACAGTTTGATTGAAAAAAAAAAAAAGAATCTGGAGGTACCCTAAGAGGTAAAGGGAAGCTTCTACTTTAAATTGCGTCTGGCTAATTTTTCCTAAAATGCAAATTAAGTGGCTCTAAATTGCCACTAAAATATGTGTGAAGGCCCAGAAAGAGATAAAGAGCTAAGACTGACAGCAGGACTTCTTCCAGAACCTGCAGAAGTTCCACTAATTGCCAGCCTGATGAGGCTGGCCCCGCTGGCATTGACCGTTAACATTCGCCACGCATGGCAGACAGACCCGCCACTAACCGAGACAAAGCACCCAGTGTTTACCCCACCGACTCACTCAGGAATCCAACAGCACTATTTGATAAAGCTAAATATAAACCACAAGAGGTAGAAAATAGGAGGGATGGGGAAAAATAAGGTTTGCAGAACTATTCATCTTATAAAATCAAAAGTGATGTGTTAACTCCTGGTTTTATTAATTTGAGAAAAGTTAACAAAAGAATGCTTTTAGAAACTTCTGGTTTGAGGCCGTTGGCAGGCCTTCCCACTAAAGTTCAACTAAACCCTGGATAAACTAAAACAAATATGTTGCTTAATGAATGGCAGGGCCTCCAAGCATGTAAGGTAAATGTTTATTTAATCTTGATAAAAATAAATATTTTAAGGAAATTACAAAGCCACAGTTATAGGTACCTTTTTTAAAGAAACTTAAAAAGTAAAAACCTATAAAAATGTATGTGCTTGTGTGTATATTTATATGTGTTTATATATGAATATGTGTGTATGTATATATGTGCAAGTGTAAGTATTTCTATGATAATGTGGATGTGCTTTTTATGTTAACAAAGAAAGGATACCTATAAGGATATTTACGGTAGTTGCCTGTAGAGGTGAACTTGGGGTACATTTAAGACTTGAACATGGGATATTGCTTAAAGTTAATGTTTAAAAAGTAGTGTATATGAAGTGCTATATATGAATGATTATATATACACACTATGTGTGCACACATGCTATGTTTAGAAAAGATTTGTGTATATTGAAATGTTTTTAATTTTATATTTCCTATTAGATTTTATTGTCAAGATATCAGAGCTTATGACATTTTATTTGGAGATACACCACGGCCTGCTCAAGCTGAAGATCTTTATGAAATTCTTGATTCCTTTACTGAAAAGTATGAAAATGAAGGACAACGAATCAATGCAAGAAAAGCAGCAAGGGAGCAGAGGAAGTCTTCTGTACCGTTTGGTTTTATGTTTCACTCAGTATTCTCAGAAAATCTCTTTCTGTAGAACATTCTGTCCCTGATACCAGGTTCCCAAGAACCTACTAAGCCTCCTTTGTAGTTTCACTGACTTCACATTGTTGTGAAAAGGTCACGCTACCTTGACATTTCCTCTATACACATTTCAGGGAAAAACGTCATTTGTCTTTTGTGGTTGCATTTCTCCAAGGATGGAACTTGGTTGTATCAATAATACAGATAATGTTTGGGAGGCCGAGGCAGGCGGATCACTTGAGATCAGGAGTGTGAGACCAGCCTGGCCAACATGGTGAAACCCTCTCTCTATCATAAAAATAGAAACAGTAGCTGGGCATGGTGGCGTGTGCCCATAATCTCAGCTACTGAGGAGGCTGAAGCAGAAGGATCACTTGATCCCCTGAGGTTGCACCGAGCCAAGATCATGCCATGCCATTGCACTCAGCCTAGGCAACAGAGCAAGACCTTGTCTCAATAATAACAATGAGATGAATAATAGTTGCAGATCCTGGCGCCTTGGTACGTTAGGCCCTGGGGCACCAAGGAGTTCGTGTGCCTTGTTCATGGGGCTCCACAGCCCTTTCAGAGTTGGTTTGATGCCTGTTTCATGGAGTAAAAACTGAAACCTAGAGTTTGTCTGCCACTGCCTCTGCCAGTCACTTGCTAAGCCAATTACTACAATGACCATCCCTGCAGCTCGCAGCTCCCTGAGACCTTGCACAGCTGGTCAGAGGTGCCTGGGGGACATTGGCTTCCAGGCATGAGAAGAGCACACCCGGTCCACATCTGAGTCTTGTCGTCCAGTTCAATTACACGGAGTCCAGAGCGGTGCACATGAGCTTTGAGAGTGCCTGATTACTAAGCACATATAATAAAAGTTTGCTAAATAAACTCATTAGAAAAGAGTTATGTGTGTCTAAGTAAAAACAAGATTTTAAAATTACGTGTATTTTTTTTTTGTTTCTCCCAGGCTAAAGAATTACCTCCAAAGCCACTGTTGAGACCACAGCAGTCACCTGCACCAGTCCAGCTGAACTCTGGCTCTCAAAGTAAATATTTTTGTTGCAATTAAAATACAATTGTAATTAAATAATTATTAAATGTTACTGTTAAGAAATCAAGATACATTGTTAAACTATAGAGTTAAATAGAAGAACTAACGTATTTAAGAGAGTAAAATAAATGCTCAGCCTCTTCTAAATACATGAGACAAATTGTCGTTGCTATAATTTGTGAAAACTTCTGTTTCTATTCATAAGATACTTTCTTAAATCTACAAAGATATTTATCTTTAAAGTTTTTCTCATTCTTTTTCTTTGCCATTTCTTTCAGAAACCTTTGTCCTCCTGATTTGAAATGACAACAAAACAAGCCTGTTTTTTTCTTATATACTCACACATTTATAATTCTGAATATCGGTTTTGACATAATGTTCTTTGGAGCTCAGGATTTCATAAGTTGGTTTTTAAACTAGATGACATTTATAAAGCACCAGGTTTTGGTCTTTATCTTTTTTTCTGTCATTCATTTTGTGGATCACCCTCGTGTCTCTGTTTTTCGTATGTGGAGGTCACCAGTGAATAGGAGGATGTTGAAGTAGGGACTTGGAGGTGATGGTTGACTGTTATACAAGAGTCGTTGTGCGGCGGCTTTGGGTGCACAGAGGTGACGTCAACGTAGATCTGGCCTTTAGAGAACTTTCAGAAGAGGAGGAGAGAGATTACATGTAGAAACATAACTGCTATTAGTAGGAGAAGGCATATGCTGAGTTTTGCGGGGAGTAAATAGTAAAGCTCTGCAGCAGGCAGGAAGCTCGTCCTCGGGCTGCTCCTTAATTTTCTGTATTCGTTTCCCCAGCTTTGAGCCCAAGTCCCTCATATGATGCTTGGCTGTGCCTTTGTCTGGTCTAGATGTGGCCCTCCCAGGAAGGTGCTCAGGAGCCAGGCCTGTTCCTCATTTCCCACCTGCCCCTGCCCCTGCATTGTCCCTGTTCTTTTGGGATTCGGGTGGTCGGCCCACTGCTGATTCGTGTTCACATGATTGATTTATTGAAACTCGTGTTTGCAGTGACTAATGAGATGTGAGCACTGAATTTATTTTTATTTTAGATCTCAGTGATTATATAAAATTTGACCCGTATGTATGTTTTAAAATATATAAAATGTCCTCACTGAGAATGGATACCTGCACGTGCATGTATAAAATCCTCTCGCTTATAAAAATCCTCTTAGGGCCGGGCGCGGTGGCTCACGCCTGGAATCCCAGCACTGTGGGAGGCCGAGGCGGGCGGATCACAAGGTCAGGAGATGGAGACCATCCTGGCTAACCCGGTGAAACCCCGTCTCCACTAAAAACACAAAAAACCAGCCGGGCGCGGTGGCGGCGCCTGTGGTCCCAGCTGCTCGGGAGGCGGAGGCCGGAGAATGGCGGGAACCCGGGAGGCGGAGCCTGCAGGGAGCCAAGATGGCGCCGCCCACTCCGGCCTGGGCGACAGAGCCAGACTCCGTCTCAAAAAAAAAACAAAACCCTCTTAGTATCAAGTCCTTATCAGTGCGGATTTGAAAATGACTGTGGACCTTAACTTAAAAAATGCCTTTCAGTTAACGATTGAAAAGCTCCGAAGGTCGTCTCTGCCGTAGAGCCCCCTTGGGCGACTGCCTGCGCCGGCTTCTGGGTGTTTCCCGCCGTGACCGCGTGTGTTCCCCGAACCCTTTCCCGGGGAGACGAGCGGTGCCCTCCCCGTTCTGCGGCCTCAGCGGTGTCCCTGCCGGAGTGCGAGTTAGCCCGGCCACGCTTCTGCAGCCGCAGCCTCCCTCCCCAGACCTTCCCGGCTTCGGGCTTCGCGGCCAGGCCGACAGGTTTTCCGTGCAATGCCATCGTTTCTCACGTGCTGTCTCTCTCAAGCTTTGAACAGCAGTTTTTAATTCAGTAAACTAAAAATTTAAAGCTAGTGTCTACTTTTAACCTTTTATGTTACATCTGACCTTTTCTTAAGTTCTTTATTTAAAAACGAAGTATTTTCAATTTGTTTATATATCCTTACATATATATACACACACACATAATTTTATATAAATGCACATATGTTCGTATGGATGGCCAGTGAAGGCAGTATTTTTTTTCTTTTCCTTTGTTGTGTTGCTTCCTTTTTTCCATTTCACCTATATTTTAATTTACAAGATACCCTCCTCTACCCTGGTTTCAGGAAAACCAGGTTCACAACATAAATTATGAACTTTCACATTTTTTTCTCCATTCTTGTGTAGTCCTACACATGACATGTACAAACATATACATAAACATGGCCAGAATAGTTTTATTTTGTCTCATTAAAATGCTATCATCCTATACGTGCTTTACTGTTTCTTCTTGATTTATTTATTTGTTTGTTGGTTTGTTTTGCTCAACAACTCCACATTCAAATCCCTAACTCAACTAGTATAGTTCTAATTGCTTCTTTTTAGTAATTACTTAATATTCCATGGCACAAATGTGTATACTTTACTCAGTCACTCTCCTATTGATGGATATTAACTTTATTTCAAATTTTTTCCATGCCAAACAGTGCCACAATTGATAGACTTCTAAATTAATATTTATATATACTGGCACTTTTATGTTTTTGAGATAGTTACCACGAGTGGACATAATAGGTCAAACAATATTTTTTAAAGTTTTAACAGATTTAGCAGATTACTTTTCAAAAGTTTTTACTACTTAGAGTTTCATCAACCATTCCCCACCATAACATTCACCAGCATATGCATTCCCCACCACAGGCATTCCCCACCACAGGCGTTCCCCACCACAGGCATTCCCCACCGTGTGTCCCACCCACCATGCGCAATCCTAACCATATGTCCTCCCCAGTATCTAGACTCCCCCATAACCTTCCCACCAAGTCCCCATTGTATAGGCTTCCCACCATAGACATTCCCACTATACACATTCCCCACTGTACACATTCTCCACCATTTTCATTCCCCACTGTGCGCATTTTCAACTATTACATCCATTATGACATTCTTCAGCTATATCTTCCTCACCACTATTAGTGCAGAAGCATCTAGAAGATTTTGCCAGTCAAGGCTTATCACATCTGCTTGTTAATTGGATTGTGTTTATTCCCACTAGTGAATGTAAACATCTCTTCATATAAATTGCTGGTACTTTGGATTTAATCTTATCTGAAAAGTCTCTTCATCTCATTGGTCTGTTTTTCCTATTGGGATATTTGTTGCTTTCTCAATTTATGGAAATGTTATCTCTATTACAGGTTTTGTTGGTCATTTGGGTTGCAGCATATTTCTACATTTATCATTTTTCTTTTGATCTTGTTTTTTGTAATTTTACTATATGAAAGTTTTAAATTTTATCTAAAAATATGTCTATCATTTAGTTTTTATAGATTTGGATACTTTGGTCATGGTTAAGGTCTTCCTCCTATACAAGGGTGTATTCATAGTCTCCTAGATTTTCTTGTGATTTTTTTTTTTGTCTTTGCATTTACTGGACACTTAGTCTTCATATAATTTGAGACCATTTTCCCAATTTTCCCATCCTCCCAAATATGCAATTCTAATTGAAATAGTATTATGTACTTGCATCCATTCTATAATTTTTTGATGCTAATTACATAATGTTACATGTGTACATTGATTAATTTGAGATATAATAATTTTACCATTTCATGCTTTCCATTTGTTGAGATTTTATTTATGTCTTTCAATAAGGTTTCGTCGTTTCTGTACCTTTTGTGTTAAATTTGTTCCCAAGTACTTTGCGATTTTGATTTGCTATGGTGAATGAAATGCACTTTTCTATTTCTACTTAAGTACCGATTTTCACAGTTAAGGAAATCTTAATTTGCTTATATTTTGTTTGTCTTATATCTGGTCACTTGCCCAAAAATATTTCTAATCCGTTTTTAAAATAGATTCTCATGGGATATTTGTATCCTTTTCCCCATCCCACCAAAGTTTATTTCTAAATTCTTACTTTCACAAATTTCTTAGGCCAATGACCTTCAAACTGGTGTATGCCTGTCTTTAGGAGTACGCGGAGACTGCAAAAGTGGATGTGGGCACAGGTCACTTAAGACACACCATCTCCAGATCCCCAGCTCCTGGATAAGTTCTTTTTAAAGCTGAACGCGACGTGCAGGGTGTGCTCTTCATCTTCTATACTGTTAGAATCAGGCTTTCTACATTTGAATAAGAAAAGCAACCCCCCAGACCATCTGCCTTTCACTCTTTGTCTTCTATACTGTTAGAATCAGTTTTTCTACAGTCGAAGAAGAAAAGCAAACCCCCAGACCATCCTGCCTCTTTCTACACTATGTTGCCCTCAGAGCGTCAGAACAGGAATCTAATGTGAAATGTGGATGCAGTTAGTGAACGGCTCTTGTGCACAGTAAATCCTTCCATGAATCAGTGATTTCTGTTTCTTCTCCTTCAACGCAATTGAAGAAGGACCTAGTAGAATTGTCATCTGAATTTAATGAGAATAGTGTGTGTACTTCTGTGTCATACAGATATCAGGTATTTATCATCTACCTTATACTTCATGTATCTTCTGGCTTTTTCAGGCACACCTTCTGATTTAAGGCACAATCAAATGATGATGATCCTATCAATTTAGTGATTTAAAATATTTTCTCAGCAAGGGCAGGATTTGGCAATTTTGTGTGTTTTATGTAATATGTACTAATAAGTTCTCAAAATCACCACTCTCCTCTTTTTTGGCAGGTAACAGAAATGAATATAAGCTCTATCCTGGACTTTCCAGCTATCACGAGAGAGTTGGTAAATCAATAAATCTATATGTTATAAATGATTAATATTCGTCTTGTGATCACAAACTTCCTAATTATTCTGATAGGTTATGAAAATCTCTGGGAAGTCTTCAACCCTTGTCTTTAATTTATAGAATATTCACATTATTTTGAGAAGTACTTCATTTAGAAAATGCTATGCTTTTGTTGTCTTACTTGCCTTTAACATAATGAGGGTGACAGGAAGCTGATGGTCAGTGTTACCTGTGTAGGGTC